GAGAGGGGGCCTGACACCCTGTGGTCTTGCTTTCTTGGTGAGCACCTCCTTTTGTGGTGGAAGAGGAAGAGGATGCACGCACTCAAGGCCTCCTGTGCTCAGTCAGCCCCACTTCCAGAGGCCTGAGGCCAGGACGAGGGACCTGAAGGTTACTCCAGTGCTCTCCCAAACAACAGGTGACTGATAACAAGGATTCAGTCCAGAAAAGCTCAAGTTCTCTGCCGTTAAGACCAGGTGACCTGAGGAAGGGCTTTTATGCACAGTACCTGATCCTTTGGCCTTACTAGCCAAGAAGAACTAAGTAGTAAATACCCAAATATTGTTGGGTTCTATTCCTAAATGGCCCCATGGTCTCCAACTGCCCTTGACGGCATCCCTCTCAGTCCCATATGGGCGCAAATATTATACGATGGACTTTAATGATCGCTGGCAAGAGGTGACAATTTGGACACTATGTAGCAGGCATATTTACACACTTTAAACAACACGCACAATATACCTTATGAGATAGGGATTTTTTGGAGTTTTTGTTTTGTTTTGCTTTCTCGTGCAGGCGACTCAACACGGCCTCACACACACGGAGCTCCGGCTCTACCACAAGGCCTGGTGGCACAAGCCAGTAATAGCACTATGGGAGGTGGAGGCAGATGAATCGGTTCAAGGAAATCCTTTACTACACAGTGAGTTCCAGGCCAGCTTCAACAGGAGACCTTTTCACAAAAAGTAAAGCAATTGTACTGGCACATAGAGGTGTCATGGTGTGACTTGCAGCGTAATCCTAGGACAGCTATCTTTACATCATTCTCCACTATTGGGTTGTCAGTTTTGTTCAGAGTAGAGTTCACTTTATTCTCTGGCCATTCCGGGTTTAAAACTGCCTGTTGTGGTGGTGGTGCTCACCGTTCTGACTTTAATCCCTGCACCAGGAGGCAGAAGCAGGTAGACCTCTTGAGTTAAAGGCCAGCCCGATCTACAGAGGGAGTTCCAGGACAGCCAGGACAACACAGAGAAACCCTGTCTTGAAAAACACACACACAAAAACTGTCTGATGGCTGCGTTCTTCACATACCCATACCTTATGGTTGCTGGAGTTAGACACATAGTTCAAAGGTAAAGCACCTGCCTACCCATTACTCAAGCCATGCCTTTGCACTCCTGTAATCCCAGCACCAGGAGGTTAAGGCGTGTTTGTAAATCTCATTCTGGGCTAATGAGAACCTGATTTAAAAAAAGAAAACAAATTCAGTAGGGGCTGGAGATCTCAGAAAAGGACTGGTTCAACTCCCAGCATCCACCTGGCAGCTCACAACTCTAACTCCAGTTCCAAGGGATCTGGCATCTTCACACAAACATACTTGGAAGTGAAAACACCAATGCACATAAAAGATTTTTTTAAAGACTTTATTATGTATACAACATTCTGCTTGCATGTGTATCTGCACACCAGAAGAGGGCACCAGATCTCATTACGGATGGTTGTGAGCCACCATGTGGTTGCTGGGAATTGAACTCAGGACCTCTGGAAGGGCAGTCAGTGCTCTTAACCTCTGAGCCATCTCTCCAGCCCAAGATTTTTTAAAAATTAAAAAAAGATTACTAGGCGGTAGTGGCATATGCCTTTAAAACAAGTACTCAGGAGGCAGTGAGGCGGGCGGATCTCTGTGAGTTCAAGGCCAACCTGGTCAGGACAGGCAAAGCTGTTACACAGAGAAACCCTCCCTGTCTCAAAAAACAAAAACAATGTTTTAAAAATTTCATTCAACAATCACCTATGTGGCTATTCTTCATATGACCACAGGGGCAATAACTAGAATTATTGCTTTTGGGAATTTCATGTTGTCAGGGGTGTAGCTCAGTTGGCAGAGTGAATATCTAGTAAAGAAAAATTGCTAGCTAACAGTATCTTCCCAGACTTGTTTGGTTATGTTGCTCAGTGACAATTTTAAAGACAACTCAGGTTGACCAAAGTAACACCATTAACTCCTTGGGATACACCATGAAGGAGGCTGAGGTAAGAGAATCATCTCCTGTTCAAGGCCAGTCTGAGCTGCATAGTGAGGCCCCAACAAAGGCTGCCAATGATCAAAACTGGAGCTAAGTATCACTGTTACACACTTGAACTCTAAAGGTAGGAAGCCACTACTATTCAGTCCAGCCCCACTACTCAGACATGATGTCCTACTACTTTCGTCTAGGCGTCACCAAGTATTATCAAAGCTCTATGCATTTTATGGTGCTATTCAACCTAATGTTGTGTGCCAAGTGCATTTGTATGCAAATGAAAGGCGTGCTTGTGTATAGACCAGACAAAATCGGTATGGTTCCTCAGTTAAAACTGTCCACCTTTCTTCATTTATGATAGGTGTGGTGGCACACACTTTTAATCCCAGAACCTGGGAGACACAGGCAGGCAGATCTGAGTTCAAGACCCACCTGGTCTACATGTCAAGTCTCAAAACAAAACCAGTACAGTTACATATTTATTGGTGGGGGCCATGCATACCTCATGTGGTCAGAGGTGACAACTTGTAGGGGTCAGTTCTCTCCACATAGGTCCCACGAATCAGACTCGAGTTGTGAGGCCTGGTGGCAAGCACCTTCTTTGAGACAGGGTCTCTCTTTGCCTGGAGCACAAGTCCAGTAGGTCAGCAAACTATTAAGTCTCAGGGATCTGTCTCTAATGCCCAGCACTGGGCTTTTTCAACTTTTTTTTTTTAATCCAATTTACCAACCCCTCCCCCCGTTTACTTTTTATTCTTTGAGTTTCATAACAGTATATAATGAACTTAGTCCTTTTCTTTTTACCCATTACCCAGTCTCATCCTTTTACCCAGCCTCTCCTCTCTGTGCATGCTATGGGGATAGAACTCGGGCTTTTGTGGGATTTTCTTTTCCCTCATTTTTCAAGACAGGGTTCCTCTGTATAGTCCTGCCTGTCTGGAACTTGGCTCTGTAAACTAGGCTGGCCTCAAACCCAGAGATCTGCCTACCTCTTCCTCCCAAATGCTGGGATTAAAAGCATGCACTACCACCTCCCCACTGGAACTTAGGGTCTTACTGTTATCTCCCCATCACTAATTTGAGCAGCAAAATGCTATTCTTGGGAATCTTTCCCCCCTTCAGTACTCAGCTTATGACAGCAGTAAACTGTAAAGCCATACTGAGTTCATGGTGGAAGACAAATAAGGCTGAGTACGCACTTACACAAACCACATGCATACTTCCATGGTCCCAGTCTTTTTTTTTTTAATTATCATTAAATTTATTTTTATTTTATGTGCATTGGTGTTGTTTTGCCATAGATGTCAGGTCCCCTGGAACTGGAATTACAGTTTGTGAGCTGCCATATTGGTACTAGGAATTGAACCCAGGTCCTCTGGAAGAGCCATCAGTGCTCTTAACCACTGAGCCATCTCTCCAGCCCCCATGGTCTCAGTCTTACAGGCTGAGTAATTATCAAACATTTTGTTTTCATTCTTTTCGGTCAACATGAACCTCTGAATTTAAGGTGTTTCTGTTACCTTTTTGGGAACTGCTAGTACGGCAATTCAAGTCTCATGAGAAAGAAAGATGCTAGCCATTATTTAAAGCCATTTATTCTTTACGAAAAAGACTAGAAACTGCTTCTTGCAGTTGTCAAGTCTCATCAAAGGAAGAATTCTGTCTTGATCAGTCTGCATCTCTATCTTCATATGCTCTTCATGCTCTCTCCATCAATGATGGCCAAGTAAGAAGTTCATGAGTGGCAAACACTGAAGTACCACCACATTGAGTAGAAACATGTACACCACATTCTACTATGCGTATTAATAAATACTCTTTATTTTAAATTTTGCACATTGCCTTTAACATTGCGTCCAGACACTTTGCAAGTGGATGTCTACTGTAAACCATATATCCAGCTCACTGTCATTTCTGTACAGAGGTGTAAGTACAACATTACTTTTGCCACTAAGTTGCTTTAGTAAGTCTCACAGGAAGAGAAACGTTTAATGAAGAGATGGCTTAAATCATAAGCAGGCCTGTGTAGCCACGCAACTAAAGACACAAGCCTGAAGAAAGAACAAACGAATGAGGTTACCTCCACCGTCTCCCAAAACAAGGAATCACATTGATTTAAGATAAAATTTTGCCAGAAGTCACTAAATTAAGAGTTTTTAAAAGAGAAGGCGCAGTAGTCATCTTGAGTGTTTCATTGAAAGACAGAGCTATTTTATTTATTTAATTTGCTCCAGCCGTTGTCAACCAGCCACTACAAATGGGCCTCTTGTGGTCATTTAAGCGGCAGTATTTATTAAATTTCTCCTTCAGATGCTGTCGGTATTGTTCTCTATTGCTGTAGAAAGACTGGTTATTAGCCATAAATGACTGTATTTCATCTTGTGAGATAAAGATTTCCTCATCTGAAGTACATTCAGACTCATCCTGCAAATTAAAGCAGCAGTTAAGATCATGACAAAGAATGCAAAATGCTATGCTTTGTGGGGCAACTACAAATTAAAGCAGGCTAGCTTTTAGTTTCAACCCAGTCACATGATCTCTAATTGGAATGCTTACAGAAAATAAGCACCATGGCATCCCATCTTAGAAACTACTTAGGATAAAATCTAACTCAGCTTGATTTGAACACTCTACCCACAATTACTCCTTATATACCTATGAGCCTACCTATCACCATATCTTCTGCCTTAAAAAAAAACAAAAACAAAAACAAAAAAACAGA